AGGGAAAGAACTGGTAAGCAAGCATGAGCAAAACCTCGAAGAGTCTAAAGGCAGCTAGTGCTGAGCTCTTTGAACTGATAGTAAACATTAGGGTTTTCAGACATATGCAAGTTAAATTGGTTTAATGAAACACTATCAAATAGCTCATGACTGAGATTTGATCAGTCTAATTGTTACAAACCCTGGGTGAAGAATGCCCTCATTCTAAATGAAAAAAACAAAATCCTGCCTTGACATACAGGTGGTATCAGCATGTTGGTGTGATGGCACCAAACACCAAATCCTCCCAAAACAAAGTTTCCTTGGGGAGAAAATGAGGGAATGAAATGCATGGGGCAGAGGTTAACCATATTGTTATAAATTATCATAGCACCCTCGGACCCACAGTTGTGGACCAGGATCATCCCTGCTTAAAGTGTTTGCATTTTAATTAGCTTAATACATTAGTAGAAGGTAGTCAAACACCGCTTTTGCAGATGTTTTAAGAATTTCTATGGAGTAGAATACAGAGCCACACAGAGAAAACAGTACACATTTCCACTAAAAATACTGGGAACACAATGCTAGTTTATTAAGAGGTAAATGCAAGGGAGACATTTTTGTTTCTGCTGTACTGGAAAATACACAATAATATATCAGCCAAATAGAGGACAGTATAGTGAAGAAGATTTTCAGAGGGATTATCAAATACAGCAGTGAGGAAAGAAGTAATCTATTTTGACTTTTAACTACTTGGCAGTAGATTAGTCTCCCTTCTTACACTTCTATGGCTGTCCTGTTTTTTCACTTCAGCAGCTACAGTTTTAAATGTAAATCTGTTTGTAGGGCAAAGGAACCCGTGACAAGGTCCTGATCAGGATTATGGTGTCCCGCAGTGAGGTTGATATGCTGAAAGTTAAGAGTGAATTCAAGAGGAAATATGGAAAATCCCTCTATTATTTCATCCAGGTGAGTAAAAAGACCTCTTGTTTTAATCACTGTATGGGATTTTCAAAAGCTCTCAGCATTGATCTAATTGCACTCATTGAAGTCGGTGTTAATTTTGTCATCGGCTTCATTGGGAGCAGTTAGGACAATGCCAGGTACTTTTGAAAATCTCACCCTAAACTTTTAACTAGACTACAATCTGTGAGGAATAGGCAGTGAAATTATATGCAAGCTTTAGACTGTGCAAATTGTTTGTAGCTGGCTGATATGTTCATGGAGAAAGCTCTTCCCAAAAGCAAAGGGAAAATAAACACCAATGAACTTGAGACAGGACTGGCCAAAGAGGAAGAGATCATGCAAGCAGCTGCTGTCAACTCCCATTCATGCTACAGAACCCTAGATTCTAGGCTGCCCTGTCTGAAGTTGGTCTAGCTCTGGGACCAGAATAATCCTGTCTCTGGCCCATGAGGGGACATGGAAGATATGTCTCAAGCTTTTTTCTTCTTTAAAAATACTGGATGAAGAGCAAGGGCTTTCCAATTCTAGGTGTTGATTCTAACCTGCCTCTCCTAATCATGTAAATTTTGGGCCCCATCCAAACTAACATGCCCCATTTATCACCATGTGAGCGGTTCTTCATCCTGTCATATCCCATCCAGCATTTGTTTTGCATGGGTGAGTGCAGGGGAATGAAACAAGCTAAAATCAAAACCTTCAGCTTATCTGGCCCACATAACAACTCTGGAAAAAGATGTCAGATTTGGGCTTAGTCTCTTTTTAACGTGTTTCCTACATTGTCTAACAGGAAAGAGTTAGGTGTAATACTCCTGAATTGATAGTGCATTTTCCTAAATTATTCCCAGGAGCTTTATAGTTTGTGTCTCTGACCCCAGAAAACAGCTAGTCCTGGTGTGGGGCATAACACTGAAATAAGTATGAGTGCTAGCTTCTGAGGCTACAAATCTACACTTCATAGCAGGTGCATAATAGCTTTTGGCAGTAACTTTCCCAGATGGGAAGCTCTGTGTCAGCAGCTGTGGAAAGAGTTTGGGCCAGATGCCCCCTTCCTGGTAATTGTTCAAGAGTGTTCAATTTTCACAGCATCTTTGGAAGAGATGTGGCAGTGGCTGACATCTTATTCTAAGTTTACATGCAAGTTGAATTTCCCTGCACCACTTTGCCTCAGTGTGAGAGAGCATTAGAAAATATAGTCCATTAGGAAATAAATATAAATTTCTACTGAATCATTGCAGATAAAGCTTTTATCTACCATTAACATATTAGAAGTGTTAACATCCTCTTATAGCTATGGATATTCTGGCTAAAAGGTTCAACATCATGGGAGCCTGGTGTGTAGGTCACCATTAGATAAGCCAACCCAACAATAGGGCCATGATCATTATTAGACAGTGCCAAGACTGTAAGACTTTGTTGGCTGTGCAACAAACTTACTATTGGGTGACTTTGGGTAAGTCAGTTGATTTGTTTGTGCCTCCATCCCTATCCATAAAATGGGGTAGTGATATTGATTGTCTTGTCAGTTTAAACCAAGAACTTTTACTACATGCATATACTGCCCCAATCTTGTTTTGAATCCAAGTAATATTGTATTTGTGGAAGGAGCAGAGTTGTAAAATTCCAAATCAGTTGACTTTTAGGTAGCGTGTTGAAACTGGGTTGTGTTTTGCTTTGGTTAATTGAAACAAATTAGAGAGGGTGCAGCAGAGGATTGGTGAATAAATCTTTCCATCTCCAGCTCCCTGGTACAAATATACCCAGATTGGCAGTGACTGAGAGAGCTAACTGATAGATGGTAACCAGGGGGGAAGAACTAACCTTGTTCTTCTATTTTCTGCTGTTTACTTATTAGTTTTGAACCAGAGTTCCCATTTTGTTCCTCCTTTTACACTGCATGTCAAAAACCATACAGTAATTTTTGCTTACAAATGGCTTCCTACTTTCTACAGCTTGTGGAGATTTTAGTATTAATATATTGGAGGAGACTGTGTGGTTAACTGCTTCAGCTTTGTACTTTTCTTTGTCCCAGAAATACAGAATTTAGTGCACTCATTCTGCTGCCTTGTGTGTGTCTTTCAGAGTATACCTTACATTTTTCTTCCGTTACTTTACAGCAAGACA